GCATACTATGATGTGAGAGAAAACAGCACAGCAGTTGCTTGAGGATGGTGTCAGATTTTGCGAATCAAGCGATTTGCAAAGCTTGACAGCGGAAAGGGATAAAACAGCTTACTTTCTTTCCCAGTGATTTTCTTCACATGCTGTTATTCCTTTTTAATTCGGGATTGTTGTTCGAAGATGGATATGTTGTTACACTACTGCTGCTGTTACTAAAGGACAACGAGCCAAAATCTGTTACATATGCTGGGGAAGAAATATGGCTCTGGGCTTCTACAAGGGAGCAAAATTCTAGTTTATACCATGTTTTGTTTTGTTTACTGCTTGTTTTCTCAGCGTTTGAGTGTTGACCTACATTGTTTCATTAGCTGCTTGGAACCATTGGCAGACATCACGTTTTTGGAATAGGATGGTATCCATTTTTGCCCAGGGTAAAGAGAAAATACCCCTTTAAAATTTCGGCACTATTGCACTATTACAACCCCAGTAGGGGTGAGATGGGTCAAAAAATAATTTTCGCTGAAACTTCGGCTATGGGGGTTATCGAGGGTCCTGATCACGAATATGATATCCATTTTTGGCGCTGGCGCCAAATTGGCGCCATTTGGCGCCAGGTGGCGCCACACTGATTCCCACTAAATTCGCTGTAAACTTCTGTATAGGGGTTATTTGGGGTCCTGATTACGAATATGACATTCGTTTTGTTGTTGGCGCTATTCGGCGCCTATTTCCTGCTCGTCTGCGCCCTCGCACTAATTAGATCGCAATCAGGACTAAGCCTTTGAATAGTGGAGGGCTCCAAAGTGAGTAGGCCACTCCCCTGTGGTCTAACACACTCCAACTTTTGCCACACGGTGCGTGGTTTACCCACTCCGGAGTTTCACTCCCCTCCCCTAAGCTTAGTCTTAGGCGCTATAGGTGAGAAAGCTTAGAAAAGCAGAAAATATGCGTTAAACAGCACGAATGTCAAAAACGAGTGTCATATTCGTGATCAGGGCCCCAAATAACCCCTATACAGAAGTTTACAGCGAATTTGGTGATAATCAGTTGTGGCGCCAAATGGCGCCAAATTGGCGCCAGCGCCAAAAATGGATGTCATATTCGTGATCAGGACCCTCGATAACCCCCATAGCAGAAGTTTCAGCGAAAATTATTTTTTGACCCATCTCGGCCCCCTCTGGGGTTGTAATAATGCAATAGTGCCCTAGTTTCTGAAAAAAGTCGTAGTCTAAGGGTTAAAATTTGGCACATATGCATGTTGTGAATAGTGCCCTGCTGAGTCGGTAGCGCTACTAGACGACTACCACATTCTCCTCTAACCATAAGCTGTAATCAATGAACAATAAAGACTTGCACATGTTTCTCGGATAGGTGTGAGAGTCCTAGCGGTGTGGTTCACTAGCACAGAAAGTGACTTTTTTCGCGTTTCGCAGCGAAACATTTTTCTGCTGGGAACCTCAGGTCCACCGCTGATCATGAGTGGACCTGGGGTTCCTGCAGCGAAAATGTTTCGCGCTGCGAAACGCGAAAAGTCGCTTTCTGTGCTAGTGAACCATACCCGAGTCCAAGATTCCTTAAAAAAGAAAGACAGGTGCAACCATGTGCCAAGATCCAGCTTCGATTTCCTCGAGAAAACCGCCCGAAGATGTAATGTTAGCCCACAACCCAGCAGGACAACGAGCTGTGCAATCAGCACAATATATACTCGATATCCAATAGTTGGGGTAGGTGTGTCACCGGAAGTGACGTGCACTTGATAGAAGTTATGTGGATAAGCTGCTTCCAACATACATCGCTGGATATCAGCAAAGCATGCTGGCAACAGCTTATCCACGCAACTTCTATCAAGTACACGTCAATTCCGGTGCCACACCTACCCCAATTTTCGGATATCGACTGTAGATCGTTCTTCGCACCAATGATAAGCCAT